TAATATAATTTATAATCGTTTTTCCATAGATTTTCTTTTACATAAACTGACTCAAAGGTTAACTCCACAATTCATAAGAAAGGTATAGTCTAAACATGATGAAATACATTTTCGGTAAAATGAAAAATTATAAATTAATAACTTTTTTTAAATAATAATTTAACTTTATAAACTTTAAGTTAAAATTTATTAAATTCATTAATTTTTCTAACTTTAAAAAATTTATAAACTTAAGTAAATTAGAAAAATGTTTTAGGCTATCATTTTATTTTTACATTAAAAATAGCTTCGAAAGTTTATTATTTTAAGATTTTTGATATTTAGGCCAAACCTAATCATGATAAACTTTAAAATAATATAAATTCAGTTATAGAGCCTAAATAATTAGTCCGGGATTTTTATATTTACATTTGCAGCTAGCCATTTTTGATTTCTGAATATATATAGCATATATACCTTGTAAACAATTATTTCAAACTTAAGGAGGTTAAATAAGTTTTAAAATGGATGCTTTAGATATCTTTACAGAATTTGGGCTTCATGCAGTGGCGTAGCTACGGGGGTGGTTTTTGGGTTTGGACCCCTCCCAGAGCAAAAATTTTTTTGAGATTATACGTTCAAAAGACTTAAAAGTGATTTTATATGAATTATATTTTTCTGGTTTTGATGTTTGTGGAAGGATATTATATTACTATTGAAATTATTTTGGATAGTATTATTATAAAGTCATTGAGAATAATCTACTAAATTATAATAACATATTATTGATGCATTTAAAAAATATATATATTCTATATTATCGAAGATATGGTTATGATTTGTAAGATAAACCTGGCCGAAGGCCGGGCAAAAGGGCCGAAGGCCCGTTAAAGGAGGTCTGGGGGGCGAAGTCCCCCATCTTTTATATGTATGGACCCCCTCTAAGGAAAATTCCTAGCTACGCCACTGGCTTCATGATATATCCAATCCATGGACTTATATAATTTCGACGTACGATGTTGATTTGTGGTTAAATATAATAGGTAGCCACTATTTTCAATAAGCATTATTCATTTTTAATCCACTTATTGTTTAAAATTTAGCTTTTGATTGCTAGTGTTTGGCTCGAATTTGAACCGATTTTTAAAAACGGGTAATTAAATATTTTGTTCAGAAAATTTTTACTTATGGCACTTTGGATATCTATTAGAATCTCGAGGCTTAAGCAAAAAATTTTTTAAAATATTGAGTTAGCCGTCTTTAAAAATTTACTCAAATCGAGCTATTTAACAACACATGATTGACTAAACATAAAAATACTTGATAAATTGCAGTCCCGACTGGCAAGTCTGACGCCCTACGCAAAATAAAAAACAAACATTAATCTTCCGCACCTAGGGAAGAAAAAAATTACTAAAAAAAATTATCTCGCTTAAAATTTGAATTTTTTTTAAAAAATAATTCACTCATTTCTACCTTTTAAAAATTGCATCTTCAATTCAAACCTTACCAATAACGATAACCGCTCTTAACTGATATATAATCCCACATAACTTATGATCAGTATCAGTATCAATGTAGAAAAAACGTATTTTCTTCGTGGACGCTTAAGCATGGATAGAAGCCATAGAGACCTGCATAGTCCAGCCTGTCTTAAAGCAATGTCCTTGAGCGGTGGCTGAACAATTATATAAAAATCAAGCAGGGCCGTGAAAATGTCGGATTTTTCGTAAAATCTTAATAGGCCAACCTAAACATTAAAATTTTGATATATATATTTTTTGAATTTCAAGCTAATATTTGACTAATACTATGTTAAAATTTGTTTATTTCTTTGTATTTTAAGAGCTGTTTTAAAAAGTTACTAAATCTATAAACAATATAGTTAAATTCATATAAAAAAAATTAAAAAGTTACTTATGATATGATCAAATTACTAATACACAATTACAGATAACAAACACATTTGATTTATAAAACGGTTGTTGTATAAATAGACAAGCTATAGAGGAGAGATATATAAGAGCCTTAATTGGCATTTGGATAAAATAAGATATAGATAGATATTAAAAATGTGGGGGCCAAAAAATTCCTATAAAAAATTTAACCTGTATGTAGGGTAGAAAAATTTTAAAGGGCTGGACCAGACCACGCAAAAGTCTTTACGTATCGTGCAATTTGTACGCAAAAATTTTTAGAGCTGGCCAGGTAACTTTGGCAAAAATTCTTAACAGAGCGAAACGGTAGCTCTAGTAGCCCCTAGTTATCATCTTTAATTCTATTGCCCATCTCCTGATATAAATTTTAAAATTTCACTCAACTAATTCATCAGCAGGTTTTTTTCGAAATGCCATTTTTTTCGCCAATAATTTATCTGTTTAAATTTGTTTCAACTTATAGACCTTTTTTCATAACGTTCATAGATAAAATAATCTATATTCTAGGAAATTTTTTGTGACATGTATGATGAAAGTAGGTTTTATAATCTGAATTTTTCTTTATGATGAATATGGGATCATCATAATATCATAATCGAACATTCTTTTTCAAGTTTTCCGGAAATTCTGATCTAGTAACAATTCCAATGGCAAATCCGAATAGCTTTTTCCTCATTTCTTATCGAAGTTTTTAGAAATATTTGTCATATTGATCGTTTATTTTCTATGATTAGTGTTTTTTCCTTTTTTTTTTAACTTTTTGACAAAAGATGAGTTAGTTTAATAATTGAAATAAAATGGTAGAAGAATAAAACTTTAAATTTGGGTTTCAATTTTTTTCGTGTCCATTTAGAAATATTTGATATTTATTATAGTTTTTATTTTTGTTTATACCTTTTACCTTACGAATGAATTATAATTATGATTATTGGATGAAATAAAGATTAATAAATGGATTATATTATAAATTAGAACTTTTATTATTTATATATATACACATTTTTCTTCCTTACACTCTAATCAATCTTAAGTTTTACAGTGGTTGATTTTTACATAGTAAAAAGAGAAAATTATTTGTCATAACATATGTTCTGAACTATTAGATCAAAAATCCGATTTCCTAGATAAATAAGATTATAATTTAATCAGTTCATATACATAAAAAAATGAAAAATATATTAATTTGAGCGTAAAATTCGAGGAACTCAAATCCACCCACCCATCATGATTATGCTGAACCTAGATGATGGATTTTAATATCGAAATCATTTTTATTTACTTAAATAATTATTAAAATTATGTAATCGAAGAAAAGGTGTCGATATTGAAAAAGATCGTTGATTTCATTTAGACTAGAGTGTCAAGGGAAAATTTAGTAAATTGTAAAATAAAACCTAAGAATGTTCGTTCTATTTACCTTTAAAAAGACTTCGGTTTTTGTTTTATAGCTTTTTATTTAAAAAGAGGTTTTAAAAGAATACGATAATAACCAGAGACTTTCAATCCAAGAACCGTCATGTTCAGGAGGACATATTTCATGTAATCAATTCAAATCATAATATTGAACCCTGACTATACATACAAAAAATATAAATCAAATATTTGCATTATTCGTATTCGATTCATATTTTCGAATCAAATACCTATATTATTCGTATTCGTAATGAATCAAATAATTTTACTATTCTTAGGAATAATAAAAATATTATTCGATTTGATTCGCCGAATATTCGATTCGAAAATTAAATTCCATGTAAATATTTTCAAAATAGATTATTTAAAATTTAAAAAAGTGATTAATAGAATGTAGGGGAAAAAGTTTTGAAATAAAATAAAAAGAATTTCAAATTATTTATAAATTATTTCGAATAACACTAATAATTTTAAATTATACGATTAATTCGATTAAAATTAGATAATAATTTTCCTTATTAGTGAATAATTTTGTTATTTGAATTCATGAAATACGATTCGAATAACGATTAAATCGTTTTAAGTGTACCTATGAGTATGACACGTGAGAATAAATTAGATACAAAATACCTTTTTGCGATTATATGGAAAAGTATCGTTAGTAGAAGTAGATACGAAATATTTCATTTGACGCTCTTAATTTTCCTCAATCTTGAAGTATATTTTGTTTAACTGAAGTTATTATACAAATAAAAATATTCATTTCGCGATAATTGTGACATTTTGACGATTAAACTTTAGATTATTATATAAATATATCAAATTAATGAGACAAAGAATTTTAATCATATACTTGTTAAAAATATTTTATTTTTTTTGTTAATTATGTTAGCAATTTATATATTAGGATCAATATTTGGTTACCCGAAATAGCAATAGTAGTTTTTTTTACATTATATCTACTATGAAATGTGGAATTATTTACTAACAAATTTAATTATCATTATAATAATAATCGATTATGATATTAAAAATTTTTTTATTTAGTATAATAATTTGCTTTCAAAAAAGAAATATAAATATATTTTATGTTTTGTCTACAAAACATTTTAAAAGAAGTAACCTAATACGATTTTTTTTGCTTGTCTTAACACGTAAGTGACAAACAATGCCTTAAAATGACATCTACCCACAGTCCGGAAATCATTAAAATTGGTAGTATATATTTTTATTTATATTATGTATCGTTAAATCTACGGTTTATGAAGAGCTCTAAATACGCAAAAAAAAAATCTAACACTACTGATTACGAATCGTTTTCCTATTTCTTTTTGAAACTTATTCAATATAAAAATATGTCAAAAATTTGGAGTTTAAAAAGCTTCAAATTCGAATATTATCACTTCTCAATCTTCAATTATTATTTACTTTATATCACCTAAAAAAAATAACATCTAAATGTTAAACAGTGGTAAAATATTGAAATCTTATGTAATATCAAAGAATGTTCCTCTACCATTGTACATAGGTGCGAGAATCACGTTAATATTGTGTATATTTTATATAATAATATAATACATATATATATAATTAAATATTCATTTTATCACTGTTCTTTGCTTTTAAAAATGAAAAAATAATCCAAATATTTCAAAATTATTACTTTAAACTATGAGATGCAATTTTTCAATCGAGAACATATTGAGAAGTGGAGAGAAACGGGATAGAGACAATACAATCAAATATAATGATCCTTTCCAATCTTACTGGATAAATTCGAGATATGACAACATACCACCATCAGGATTCAGTGCTTCCTATTTCTATCCTTACGAAATCCTACAAAATTATAATTATTTGGTGTTTTATTACAATAACAATATCAGCAAGAATGATTTTGGGAAAGATTTTAAATTTTCTGTAAAATCTCGGGGATCTATGGAAAATATAAGTGTGAAGAGTATAGAGAATCCGATAAAATGTACTAATAACTCAAGAGTATCACTTGTCAGCATTGGTAAGATAATTAATAATCATATTTATAAGTTTATCAATATAATCTATATAAACTAGGGTTAAAAATGAGAATTAGATGTGATTTGAGAATTTTTAGCCTCGGAATCCTGGAAAATTGTCTAATAACAATTTCAAACCTCACATTTTAAGGGAATTTAAACAAAAAACTACAATTCTAGCTTAGGGGTTTTGTTGATCATAATTTACCAATTATTATTAAATAATACTTTGTTAAAAAAAATATACAATTATTTAAAACACAGAATCCTCCTGTGCGAGCAAAGATAATCTTACAATAAGCAAAGAGATGGTAGGCAGCAAATGCCTCAAGTTGGATATTTATGAAAAGTGCAAGAAGAATAGACAAGCCTACAACCCCCAACAATTGCAGAATTTAGAAATGGAATTCAAGGTATCTATAATAATTTATTATATATTTTACAAATTTATTTAAATTGATAGAAAGAACGTTATTTGACGGTCAATAAACGTAAACAAATGTCGATCATGCTGAAGCTATCCGAAAATCAAATTAAGACCTGGTTCCAGAATCGAAGGTTATTGATTGACTAGTGTTATCAAATACGTAACATACATTTTAAAAAAATAGGAGAGCAAGTTATTTAAAGCGGTTTACATTTAACGGTCAGAACCGGGTGGACAGAAGATCTATGAGAAAGATCGGCGGGGATTTGACAGTTAACCTATAGTATTTACGCTGGTATTCATCAGGCAAATAAGGCAATCATAACTTGGATAACTATTTTTTAAAAAATGAGTTATATCTTTATTTAGCGCGTTTATTTCCTAATTTTTGTAATTTAGTAGTTATAGCTTCATGTAGAATACTCATTTTCTCTCTGATGGATATAAGTTACACCTTCCTTACAACCAATACAGTATGCTATTGAGTGGAAGCCCCCACTTTACGGAAACCCACTGTTGTGTACATAAAATTCGAGTCTTAATTTATCAATTAATCCTTAAGCAATAAGAAATCATAGTGTTTTTTTTAAAATAAATTATAGTTGGGCTATTATATTCTTCGTTTTTTATTACTTTTTGTTTTTGGTTAAATTAAAAACTCCTTCACAAAAATATATATATTTAATTTTCAGAACCAAGTGGAAAAAACAAATGACCGCATATATGAAAAGAAAATCCCGCAAAAACTAATATTAATAATTTATTGTAAACTATACTATCGGTGCTTCTATTTTTAAAATTGTAAATTTTATTAATTTTTTTGGGTGAAAAAAAAAGAAATTGTGACGATCATTATTTTTTATTTGAGGTATATATGTATAATACAATAACTATGCTTATAAAAACGAATTATTAATTAGGGGAGACCGGGGTAAAACGGTTGATATTTCGCATAAAATTTTGAAACAAAAACAAAGCAAATTATAGATTTATATGTAGCCGGATTCCTCATCTACAAAAATAATTTTTTTAAAAAAAGTATACCTCTTTACCTATAATACGAAGTTATGATTATTTGAAGTGTACCATTTCCGTCATTTTACCCCATACCCAGGGTAAAATGGTTAGGCATTAGGGTAAAGTAGGTAAATAAAATTGAAAATAACTTGTTGTTTTATTGAACAAAATATTGACATCCATTCATCACCTTTAAGAATAAACAAATCCAAACATTATGGTAATGTAAAATTTTTTATCAAAAATAGCACATTTCAATTATTCTTCCCCTTTGCGGCTATTTTTAAAATTTTATTCCAAATAACATGAACTATTTATTTATGTTCATTTTTGCACAAAAATACGTAGACCTTATTTAAAAATTATCTTTTTACAGCTTCAATCATACGGAACATTTTTACCGTTTTATCCATAACAACTTTACCCCAAGGTGATATATATTATAAAAATCTTTATTGTGCAATTTCTAGTTAAGCTAAAAACTTCCTATGAAATTTATTTTATAGCTATGAATGACCTTAAGGAACATGTATGCAAATTTCTAAATTTATATTAGTTTTAATATATTTTACTATAAACAAAATAACCTAAAGGGTGATTTTTATAATTTCTGGGTAAAAAACGGATTTTTGGCAAAATATGACACACCAGGTTTTCCAAAAGAACAACATAGGTAAGAAATAGGGCCGTGCCGATCCACAAAACCGATCCGAACCGATATTCATATTGATTTTTATTTACCATTTATCTTTGTATCAATGTCATAAAAATATCAATATCATTTGGAAAAAAAAACGAACTTTCAGGAATGATTTTTTTATTCTCCAAAAGTTAATAATCTCATTTAAAATATTTACAATGTTTATGGGGTGAATGTAGTGTTGTAAAACAACTCCATTTAGCTGATTCTTATAGAGTTAAATCTAAATTTTAGTCAAATTATTATTTTTAACTAAGCTTTGAAATTTCGGCAATAGAAATCCAAACCTTACCATCTGTGGGCAAAATCAATAAGCCTACTTTCGGCCAAAATTTTAAGTTACTCGTTTTTAAAAATTGGCTAACTTGAGCCGTTTAGCAAGCTAGCTGAATGTGACTCGATATTTTTAAAATCCTTTTCTTGCAGATAATGTAGCAAAATATTTATAAAATAAAAAAATATATAATCATAAAATAATCAAAAATATAGGATAGGATTGGTTTTTTAAAAAGTATCGGCCTGATCCGATATTTTAAAAAATGCCAAATATCGGTTCCGACCCGATATTTAATATCGGCACAGCTTAGTAACAAAATAAGATATAAAAATATATCTTCATACCAAATTTAAGGTCTGTATGCTTAATGGTTAAAAAAAGTTATCAAATTGTTATTACGTAAATCGCTATACTCCAGTCAACCTTACTGGTTCCTGTTCTAAAGTGTTTACTTCCCTAGCATCTATTGGAATTAATTTTAAAATTTTTCTAAGAGATATAAGCGAAATTCCAAATTTTTAACGACTTTTGCTTTGACGTTTAAAAACCTATTCCCCTTACTGGTATTCGATTTCTTTAAACGAATATTTGTATGAAAACGAATAGTAACTTATCCGATTTGTTTAAAAGAATCGAATACGAATAATTCGATGATCCGAATTCGTTTTTGAATAATGCCTATATAATAATTTAAAAAATATTGGTGTCTATCTCAAGATAAATTCGTGACCCATTAAAAAAAATCTTGGAAAAATAATATATTTAACATCGAAAACCGGGACAAAAATTGAGAAAAAAATCTTGGAACCATTATTAAAAACTTTTGTTGGAACAAAAATTCCAAGGTTCCCTAAGTGATTCTAACAAAAAAATACTAATTAATTAATATATATACAATGTACATTGTTGAAAATTTTAAGTGATTCATTTTAGATAATTTATTCAATGTTTAATTATTTTTTTATTGTTTATTAATAGTTGGAACCGAAAGCCTAGAACTAGAACAAATCCAAGAACCGGAAATAGAATAACAGGAAACTCTGTTTTAAGCTTAGTCTTGCACGGCCCCCCCATTATATGAATTTATATAGGCGGACTTTTTAAATTTAAATGGCGTGTCCCTGGCGACGCAAATATTTTTCATTTAAATTTTAATGAATAATTCATATTTTAATTTTTTTAAAAAAGAAATAGTATAACTGTAAACAAAAAAAGGATAAATAACCAAGTTTATTGAGTTAATATAGCTATAAAACTTAAAATATAAAAATAACAATTGACAGATTTGTGTATTAAAATTATATTATTATACAATTTTTTTCACAGTTTGCCTTGGCCACAAAGTTCTATCCAAATATACTCGATTGTAAAGTTCCCAGCGTTTTTTGGGCCCTTGAAATTTTGGGTTTTTCTGTTCATATGGCTTTAATAAACCTTTTTTTTTAAAAAAAATCATATTTATAATTAAAATTAACTGTACTAAAAATAAGGAAATCAAAATATTCATAAAAAATCCACAATTGGTATCATTTCCATAAGAGAGATACAGATATCAATAAAGTATCAATAAGGCATAGCTAGATTTTTTTACCTTCTATTTTTGGAGGAAATAGGAAATGGCGCCAGAATGGATGGACACCACCCCTAAAATAATAAAAATAAGCATCTCCTTTATTAAACTTTTTTTAAAATATATATTAATTAACCCTACCTCCATCTCGCTAACCTTTGGCTATAAGGCCTGTGCAAATGGGAGCAACTGGATGGCAACACTGGACTGCCAAATTTTGTTTTGTAGGCATTTAAAAGTCATTTGTAATTTTTTAAAAAAAGTATAAATATAATTATGCTTAAGCTAAATATTACATTTATAAAAACTCAAGTAAGTTAGTTTTAGGAAAAAAATGTCCTGCCAAGAATTGAACCACCACCTCTTTGCTTTATTGATATCCTCCATATCTCTATAATATCTGCACTATAGCTGTCATCAAAAAAATATTGATTTTTGTATTTTATATATTAATAATTTGGTAAATAATTTTCATTAAGGCTTCTCTTGTGACATCTATGATAAATCCAATTACTCTAAGTGGCATAGAGTTGGGGCCATGGAAAATTTTATCCAAATTCACTGTTTCCTTAGATATGATTTAAACTAATAAAACTATTCTATTCTCCCAGCCCCAATTTTCTCAGAAAAAGTATATAATATGTCCTTATAAATAAGTATAAGTTAAAAAGAATTATTTCAAAATTTCTGAAAATGGAGCATTTTATACAACCAAAATTATTATTTTTAAAAAATTTTATCAGCCAAAGGTTTGCAATAAGTGGACCTAAAGCTCTCTAATAGAATTTATGAGGAAAATCATGTCTTATAGCCTCCTCTAAAAATCCTGGCTATTTCTATAATTAAATTGATAGCATCAACCTAATACCCAAGCCATATTTGTGAATTTCTCATATTATATGAAAAATAATTCTATATTTTTAGTTGAATAATCTAATCTAATTTATATATAAATTCTGTTAATTTTTAATATTAAATAAACTTAGTCTATATTATTTAAGTATTTTAGAATTAAATAACCCTAAAACCTGCTTTAAATGCAAATTCTGTTAATCTTTTCAATAGAGAATGTTGCTTGTAACATAACCCACTAATATTTTTATCTAAAACATTTCCCTTTTGATCTAAAAATTGGCTAATTATCAAAATATCCTATATAAAAAATAATATAATATGAAACAAAATATAATACTGTATATTGCAATTTAATATTAAGGGCACATAAGGGACAACAACCTTTGGGAATTTTATTCTGGTCAATAAGATGTTGGTATAAAGAAGGTTTATAATTTGAAGTATTATCATTGCTTTCAATGATCCCTTCAACCTATTTAAGTATTAAATAATATCAATTATTAAATATACTTGGGTTAATTTTTCCTTTGTATTATATATAACTAATAAAACTTTAGTAATATATAATTAGTATATTATAAGACTTTTTTTCAAATGGTTATTTATAGATGTATGAATTCGATGTTTAGGATTGCAAAATTTTTGAAAAAATAAACTTTTCATTTAAAAAATAATATGAATGTATGTATATATAGGGTGCATCGTTAATCATTATCCTTAAAATTTGTTGAATCTACCTTATAAAGTGACAAGACAATGTAATAATATAGCTGAGAATGACTAATTTTTAATAATATTAATTCATTAAAATTATATAATAATATATTAGAAAATCAATATATTACATTTCCCCTTTATAATTTTTATAATTTTTAAAATTTTTAAAATTATTAAATTTATTTTATATTTTGAATTTATCATTTCATGAATTTTTAGAATTAAATTAAATATAATATCGATAATCGCCGATTTTATTTTGATGGATTTATCATCGATCACCGTTTTTCATTTTTATTCATGTTTCTCTTTTCCAAATTTTTATTTCATTTGTTTTTTAAATTTTAGTTTGATGGATTTTAAAAATAATTTTCAATTATATATTGATCATAAATCGCCTTCTTTTTTATATTTTGAATTCATAAATTATTTCATTATTTTTTACATTTGTTATTATTAGTTTCAACCATTTTTTTAAAGTCCTTTTTTTATTTTATTTTTTTTACTTGTTTTTCTTGACTTTTAATCTTACTAATTTTCCTTCAAATTGTACTAGTCAGCATTTTCTTTATTTTTTTCAATAACCTCATTAAGTTTCATTTCAGACCTAATTTGATTTTCTATAATGAAATCTTCTAACACTTTAATTAATTCTATAACTTTTTATTTTCTAAAACTCTTGAAAAACGAGTTGATAAATGAGATAGAAAATCTTTTCATTATCTTATTTATACCATAATGATCAATAGAATCACTTGAATAATTAATTTAAATTTTCAATTTTACACATTAGATGGACATTACTATAAAATGGACATTGGAAATCTTTATGAAAGTGGTGGCATTTCAAACATCTATTGGAACATTAAAATTATGTTTAAATTAGAATTGCCAAATTTGCATACTTGTAGACTTGTATAGAATGTACAAAATTGTCGTATCTGATGATTATTATTATTAAAGTTCTTGCCTTTATTTTTATTTATTTTATAAATTTTATTGGATGAATTAACATTGTTGGTCTGAGCAAAAGTTAAAACTTATTCCAATGATAATTCTTCATTGGGACGTACTAATAATCTTGATAAATTAACACCCGCAATAAATTGATTTATAATCTGTTCTTCTATTGCCTTTAAAATTGAAATAAATACTCTATGAATTTATTCTTTGCAAATACCTAATTACATTTTCTTTTTCTTTTGAATTGCCTTTAAACTCTAATATAGCAAAATATTTTTTATTTATTTTTTATATAATTTTCTCAGTGAATCGCAAATTTCTTCAAAAGAACATTCTTTTATATTTGTTGGATATATTAAATTTTTAATTTACAAATAATTAGAATCCTAAAATAAGCTAGAATCTTCTTTTTTTTTGAATATCTGGTTTAATAGGTATATTTTTGCTTCCAACACAAATTCTCAAATTTTCCAAATAATCAACAATATCAGTATTGATGTCATCGAATTGATTTAAAATAATTTTTAAATAATTCCACATTTAGAATTATAATTGCCATTTTCCATTAATTGGTAAATTTTCAAACAAATTACTATAAAATTTTTTTTCTTTATTATTTTTAGACTTTCCTATTTTTCATTTTAACTCACTTTATTTTTTTTTCTCGTCGCCAATATAATAGTTTTAATTTTTACGTTTTTTAAAATTATATAATAATATATTAGAATAGAAGTGACACATTGGCATTTTTTTACAAAGGACAGTTGCAACTTTCTTATCGTTTTACAAAAATAAAAATTAAATAACATCGAACACAGATTTAATAGGATACAAATATATTATATTATAACAGTATCAATAAATAAATTCTAGATATAAGATATAAACCCAATGCAAAGTAAATTATAATTATATTTTAATTATATAATTTAAGAATTATTTTTTAGGAGACCCGATAACATTTATTAAATCATTAATCAGACAAAAACAACTTTTTATCGCTAGTATACAATGATATATATAACTATAGATAGGCGCTTCATTAATTAAAGCGTCCACATATTGAAGCCAGCTGTAGCACCATTTTGTAGTTTGTACGTTGATCAAATGTCTCGATAATTATAATAATTTTTTAAAAATTGATTTCTGTTACAATGCTCGTGAAACCAACACCTATACCTTTGTTAGGGCTCGCTAGAAATCCCAAATTGACCTATTCATCTCCAATATTCACTGGTGGTTTAATGATGTTAAAGCATTAGCAAATCTAAACTTATCGGATCATAAAGATAACCGTGATGAATATATAGCGGTTTTTCAACATCAATACTCAAAATACTACTAGTCTTAGGAAAATTTAATCGGCGGTTTTATTACGTAATAATCTTAGGAATTTATGAAGGCCAAAGGATAAAAGTCAATTTAATAAAAAGTATTAAATAGGAAAATAGTAAACTTCCTAAATATAACTGAACACAGAACCATTAAGGAATTTTGGAAACTTTTTAAGGGAAATTTATCAGAATCATGCATTAATCTGCCTAAATAGTTTTTCTAGGAAAAAATGGATGTCTAGTGAAATACTATAAAAGATAAATGAACTCAGAGAAAACGACGATTTTAATAGCGATCTATGGAAAAGAATGCAAATATTATTACGGAGTGATATAAATATCTACATAGCAAGGAGGCAGTTGATATTGATAAGGACATGAAAGATAATAGAATTTATGATGCCTATAAAAAATTTTAATTTATCTGTAAACCTTACAGTTTCAAGAAGTTCTTTATAGATTTAGGAATTGCAGTATGATTGGATCAATAAATGATGGCCCTTGACTCTAAGAAGACAATTCTACCCATACATACTGACCCAACCTCATCAGGTTTCTCTATTTATGAAATTGCTAAATCATCAAAAACTCACAAAAAAACTAGGCTCCGAGTGTAGACAACATCGCAGCTGAATATTTAAATTAAACTAGCCACAATATCATCTTTTTATTATGGGAAAGTAGAAAGCCCCCCCTCCCTCAAAATGTAATATATCCCTCTTATGTAGCTTCCCCATAATAAATAATCCACGCAAATTTCAGAACTACCTTTTACTTTGCCCAACCCTTTCTATCTCAGCCTATATACGTTTAAAAAACAGTTTTCGGACTTTGTGCGTACTTGCCCACAAAAATGTAGAGGGCTTTTATTCCAACGAAGGGCAAAAGCGCTACAAATCACGTAAAAAGATATAAGGAAGAGAAAAATCCTATCATTTGAATATTAATCTTAAATTGATTATTGTGAAATATACAGCGAAATTTTAAATAAATTTATATTATAAATAATTTATGTAATATATTTTTCATTACAATGTGTAAAAATGGAAAAAAACGCAAAATCAGGGCATAGAAATTTCGTAGTGGCTAGGCCTCCAATTTCTATGTCCATGTCCTGTTTATATTTAATTATGTTAGTCATGTTTGCATGTATAGTTAAATGCATGCCTTCCTTTTTTTTTGCATAGGCAGATTACTTTTGATGATCAAATAACCGTTTTAATATAATTAGGCATTGCTTCACTATATTTGATACATAACTATTTGAATTTCCAAAGAGCTGATGTCTTAAATATACTTTACAAAACTATTTATTTACATTACTGTTACATTATTATTCTTCACGATTTAAATGCTTTAAGTAAAAATTATGTATCAATATTTTTAAATTTATAAAGAAATGTCATAATATTCCTATCTTATATTAAATATTAACCAAATCAATAAATTTTTTAATTTGATGAAATATATTTAAAATTAAACAAGTATGTAGGATTAAAGGCTAGAGATATGGGTTAATTTGAAAGATATAGATTAGTTTTAATTTATATTGAAAATGGTTTTTACTAAAATTTAATATTATTTATAACTTGTCAAATCTGATAGGTTATGTAATTAAAAATAATTCCTTAACCATAATCATAATATTTATTCCCATTCTAAATTGCTAAAGGTAGGGAGGATTTTTTATATAATCTCCAAATCTTGAAATAAATTTGTAAATATGTAAAGAATATATTTTATTTTTTACATTTGATTTTCTAAAATCAGCCCTCTATAAAAGAAGCTTAATTTAAATTATATTAATATGAATCATATAGCTTTATAAGATGAGCAATGACATATAATAATACCTAGACTGACGATTCATTCATTAAAAGTGTACATCAATACAAATCAGCTAGAGACGCCATCTTGGTTACTGTAATAAATATTAAAATTTTAAACGAGAGCCTAATTTTATATTATATCTGATGCAAACTTTATTAAAGAATTGCCTGATCATCGAGATAATAAGAAAGTAAGTTATCAATTTAATATTAGTTTTTAACATGAAAATAATTATTATAAAGGTTACCAAAATGGCGGGTCCAGCTGATTTGCTTTTAACGACGCTTAAAAATGCATTTTAATGAATGAATCGTCAGTCTAGGTATTATTATATGTCATTGAAGATGAGTTAAAAAAAATATTTTTGATTTAAAATAAAAATGGTAACAAAATAAAATTTTATAAAAAATATTTTTTTTACATAACTAAACTATGCTCTCTATTAAAGAAGCTTAATTTATAAAAAAAATAAACGCAGAAATATATATAGTTTATTAGAAGGAATCAAAAAATGTTAATATAATATTTTAAAACTTTTTATAACCTAAAACACCTTTTTTTTCTAACTAAACTACGCGCCTTCTATCAAAGAAGCTTTATTCGTAAAAAATATAGCATAATCATATTAAGCTCATTAATAGGAATCAAATAATGTTAATATAGTTTATAAATTATTTATAACTTAATGAGATTTTGAAAAAACGCTTAATTTCTTCTTTTTAAACTAAACTATACACTTGGTTGGCGCATAAGGGAGCGTAGCAGTCAAAAAAATATTTCGAGAATTAAAATTTTTTTAAAAAAAATTGAATACCATTTTCTGAATCTCCTTGAAA